TCAACTAAAGTTAAGCATTAAGCCAATGAAACCTCACAAATGGGGGTTGAAATTGTTTGTTTTAGCTGACATTTCAGGATTTGCCTAAAATTTCGAAATTTATATACATCTAACATAGTTTTGCGTTTGTCCCGAATAGTACCTCGTAAACAAAATTATCGACTATTTCACAGCAACTTTTATACCGCGATTCCTTTTCTGGTTTATTTAGCAAAGAAGGGCATTTTTTCATTGGGAACAGTTCATAGATACAGACTTCCGAATTGTAAACTGCCCTCAGAAGCTTCAATGAAAAGGAAGAGCGTGGTAAAAGTTATGAATATATGGAGTAGACATAACGTCAGTAATATTGAAAGACAATAAATATATTTCTCTCATCTGCTCGTTTGTTGGAACTCGTCCTGGTGTTTGCTAGAAGATATAACACAAAACCATGGATGTGGAATCGAAATCAAAAAGTTTAATATAAGAATATTTTATCACTTGGTTGACTTGACAATGGCTAATGTTTGATTGACATATAAACGAGTGCTGAAGCAGAAAAACGATACAGAATTTTTAAATCAAACGAAGTTTTGAGTAGAGGTAGCCCAATGCTTAGGTAAAGTCTATATTGCGCTAAAACGTGGGAGATTTACTAACTTTGAGCCAGCCATTCAACCAAAAAAAAAAAATGAAAGGATCAGCACAATATATACCACCCCAAGATATGCGCAACGACCAAATTGGGCGCTGGCCTGAGCATGTGGAAGCTAAAATGCACTGCAAATATCCTGGATGCCTGGGATATAGTCGCACAAAATGCGAAAAATGCGGCATTGCTTTATGTTTAAACAAAAACCAAAATTGTTTTAAAAATTTTCACCTGAAGTGAACTGAGCTGTTTTTTCTCACATTTGTGTTTAAAAATAATTCCTAAAAGCAGAATGTTATGCTTGAATTAAAAAAAAATGTTCAAAATCTTGAATCCATTTGGCAACAAAACCTTATTTTTAAGGATAAAGGACGACTTTAAGTTATATCCTCTTTTTATTAGTTTTCTATGAGTTTTTGAGCTGTAATATTTATTTATAATAAAAAAATATTTAAAATGAAGAACTTATGCATTTAAGGGTTAACACAAGAACTCAAGCGAAAAGAACTCAAGCAGTTCGATCATCAACATCTTGGCATTGCTGATGGGGTCCTCAAAATGCTTGGAAATAGTACGGAATTTCATCGATAAATCACTCTGACTGATTAGGTCTATTCACACATCAATGGCGATGTCAGAAGAAACCCCATATTTTATTTATTGCTGAAAAATCTCCCCAACCTAACCGTGATCCCTGATCCAGCCGACCCAACTTTTCCGAAAATGAGGATAGAACTATAGTAACGGGAGAAGATTCGATTTGGTGAAGGAAAATTTTATAAAATGAATACGGGCCATTAAACATAGCCGTGGCGACTACTTAGTTAATATTGTTTTCAATTATTAACGGCTTTTCTTCTGCGGCTGCGATGTGAGAGTGGTTAGAAATGCGTACTCCAATACTTATAGAAAATTATTGCTAATAAAAACTGAGTTAAATTTTCTAATTGCGGTAACCCCTCGGCATGTAATGTCAACTCCTCTGAATGTAAAGGCTCCTCATAAAAAATCATCAGACATTCTAAAGTGGGTTAGTATAAACAGTTGGTCACTTCATATATATCTTCCTCTTCACATTGAAATAAACAGCTGATCATTTATATAAAAAAAATTTGAAGCGTCAGATTTAATTAAAAAAAAATATTTGTTGGTATAGAAATCACAAAGAGTAAGTTCGCCTATTGTAGTACAGCCGCTTTTCTCGGAAACTATAATGTGAAAATTACGGGACCTATTAAAATAGCTGGGCTTTCTCAGAATATTAATAAAGCGAGGTTTAACTTGTGATTTGTAAGCGATCCCGATAGTCAATTGTAATAAAAGTGCCTAGTGGAGCAGTGGACTTTTTTTATGCGCGGGAAAAGCGAATTCTCTCAGAAAAGCCTGGAACCTGCAATCATACACAATATCACGTAAATGTTATATTAGTGGTCAGCTTAAATTGTGTTTTGTAAATATTTTTGTGTAATCATTGTGGTATACGCAAAGGTGGGTAAAGTGGTGTAGCGTAGCAAGTAATGCTCTCCCCTACATGCCGAAAAATGGTGAAATGCGAAAGTGGAAAGCAGAGGATATAAAGAAGCAATATAAATATTAAGAAAAGGTGATGTAGGCATTGTCTTGCCTTCCAAAACGTTCAGTGTCCTAAACCGGAATGGGTTCCAATTCTATATGCAGCAATAAAAAAAAGATTTGGTGAAATATTCGTAAGAGATGTAGCCAAANCTGATCATGCCGACCCAACTTTTCCGAAAATGAGGATAGAACTATAGTAACGGGAGAAGATTTAAGATTTTTTATGACCGGAATTAGATGGCATTAATCTGGACAACGTTTGCTTTCAGCAAGACGGCGCAAGCAACGAAACTATCAATCTTTTAAGCAAAAAGCTTTCGTACTTTGTTATCTCCCGAAGAGGTAACTGCAATTGGCCACCCAAATCCTGTGATTTAACAACTTTCGAGCTCTTGCTTCGAAGGCACTGGAAAGATATGGGCTGGGTCAGTAGGCCAAGCTCGATTTAAAACCTCAAAGATGGAAATTATGAAGCTATTGCGGGCATACAGTAATCACTTTTCGATTTGGTGAAGGAAAATTTTAAAAAATGAATACGGGCCATTAAACATAGCCGTGGCGACTACTTAGTTAATATTGTTTTCAATTATTAATGGCTTTTCTTCTGCGGCTGCGATGTGAGAGTGGTTAGAAATGCGTACTGCCATTCGGAAGGCCAGAGTTAGGGTCCTGTTCTGATCCAATATTTATAGAAAATTATTGTTAATAAAAACTGAGTTAAATTTTCTAATTGCGGTAACCCCTCGGCATGTAATGTCAACTCCTCTGAATGTAAAGGCTCCTCATAAAAAATCATCAGACATTCTAAAGTGGGTTAGTATAAACAGTCTAAATGTTCTAATTTCATATATATCTTCCTCTTCACATTGAAATAAACAGCTGATCATTTATATAAAAAAAATTTGAAGCGTCAGATTTAATTAAAAAAAAATATTTGTTGGTATAGAAATCACAAAGAGTAAGTTCGGCTATCGGAAACTATAATGTGAAAATTACGGGACCTTTTAAAATAGCTCGGCTTTCTCAGAATATGAATAAAGCGAGGTTTAACTTGTGATTTGTAAGCGATCCCGATAGTCAATTGTAATAAAAGTGCCTAGTGGAGCAGTGGACTTTTTTTATGCGCGGGAAAAGCGAATTCTCTCAGAAAAGCCTGGAACCTGCAATCATACACAATATCACGTAAATGTTATATTAGTGGTCAGCTTAAATTGTGTTTTGTAAATATTTTTGTGTAATCATTGTGGTATACGCAAAGGTGGGTAAAGTGGTGTAGCGTAGCAAGTAATGCTCTCCCCTACATGCCGAAAAATGGTGAAATGCGAAAGTGGAAAGCAGAGGATATAAAGAAGCAATATAAATATTAAGAAAAGGTGATGTAGGCATTGTCTTGTCTTCCAAAATGTTCAGTGTCCTAAACCGGAATGGGTTCCAATTCTATATGCAGCAATAAAAAAAAGATTTGGTGAAATATTCGTAAGAGATGTAGCCAAAGTACTTGGGAATAACAGAGATGAATGTTCGGTCTCTGGGATATCAAATTCTTAATAAGTTCTCTAGCAAGCACCAGCAGAGGATACGTTGCTGCCTAGAAGATATCTCGATCACCTAATATTAGAAGTATTTTCAGTAATAGGAGAGACAGGAAATCGAAGGCGGCAGCTTAAGCGACTTTTCTATATAAAAATAAGCAAAGCATTGCTTCCATTAACACAAGAAAAATTTATCAATTAATCCTCCCGAAAAAAAATAAAGAAAAAATATCTTTTTGAAGCCTGTTGCTGATTTTAATTTAAGTTGCAGTGAAGTATTTTTTCAGATCTTCCACCACCAAAAGAAACTTCTTGTATCTATTGCAGAAAAGTTGATGGTTTTGTGGGTTCTTGTTTACAATGCGAACAGATATGGGTTCATGTTCTAAATGTTCTAATTTATTTAATTAATTATAATTAAAATATTTAAATGTTTATTGTAAACACTTATTTAACCTACAGACTTATAAAATGCACTTAAAGTGCATTTAATTTTATGTTTTTCAGTTTTTTAAATAAAATATTACTTTTTAATCTCACAAACCTTTTTAAATTTCTAGGGTGCGTTTATTTTGACCGTCATGGTATACCTAATTACTAGCCAATTTTTTCTATGGCCTCTTTTTGGCTGTTGAGATATTTTCTTAAATATCTCGTAAACTTTGGGCAGCAGGCCTTTTGCATTTTACGTCATTTTTTGTAATATTTGTGTGATCATAAAACTCAGTTTTCATTAATGTTGCTCACAATTCTCTTATTTTACAAAGAAAAAAAAATTAATAACAAGAAGGAAAGACTGCCTTTAGGTATATCGAAAAGTCTTTACACCTTTCGTGAATAAAGAAAAATAAAATTAATTTTGTAACTTGTTTACTAAATATTAGAGTCGTCTGCTAATTTATGACCCAAAATCTAATATCTGCACTATTCGCATGTCGGCTGAAAGATATACGAATATTTAATCCCAATTTCATTGGTTGTGGGACTAGTTAGCGTACAACCAGAATTACAGATAGATCTACCTGCTCTCCTTTTGGTACTAACATACTTCATAGTAAAGCTAGTATACCATTTTAAGTTCCTTAAAGGTACAAAAATATGTACATATATATAATATTGATATATTTAATATATGTATAGTATATAGTATAGAAAAAACTAAAACAACAACAAGTATTTATGTATCAGTTATAGCATATACATATACATATATGAACACATATTATTTAATTCATGAATCAATTTAAACTTCTACTCACCAATTTTAACCAGACATTCGTGACAAGCAATTGATTCTTCTCATCCTGAAAAGATACGAGAAAATATTGAAATATTAATTTCCTTGCCAGAAGTTTGCTAAAACAAATCTCTGCAACAAAAAAAATGATAAGTTATCAGAAATAGCTGAGCATAAATATAATTGCCTTTCGCTTATAAATTAGACTATTGCGTGAAAACATTTAAATAGATAAAAAAATACAAAAAATTTCCATTTTTTTATCCCCAGAGTGATGGCAATATAATTATTTAACACAAATTTTTCTCCTTCCCCAAACCTCTATCAAACAATTACAACTTAACTTCGACTTCATATGTCCATTGAGAGAAATATCTCTTCCCCCCAGTCATTTCACACCCTAGGATCTGCGTCTACCGAACTGAAAAAGAAACTCAGCTCAGCGTCCACTAACACAACGTCACCGTCGATAGTCAATCAAATTGAGACGGCAATGGTGCTGATTGCGATGCGCTTCATTAATCGAATTACAGAATTGACGACATCCAGAGGAGCTTTGGCGGTTGGTACTCATGAAGTACGTCGGAATTCAAGTAGGGTAAGAGTAAATGTAGTCTTGCCATAACAATGTGGTGTGAAACACCATACATATACAGTTCGAGAGAGTGTTGGTATACTCTTGCCACTTTGTATATATATACGAGTATATATACATTTTTTCTTTTTCTGCTTCAGTTTACAGCACCGTATATCGTTGTTGTATTTATTGTTCCTGCTTACCAATTTGCATCACTAACCCAATTTCCGGCTGAGACCGATGAACGCACTCAACACAAATACGAAATACCCACGGCCACACATGTGTATGTAGTAAACGAAAAAANGATATTAAGCATATATATATATATATATAAAGTAAAATCAGATAAATAAAATTAAAAAATAAATGAAGTAAAGTAAAAAAAATATGTACAAATAACGAACTAAATCTTATGTATAATAAAATCACTATTTTACGCAAAAAGTGCATTATATCGAAAAAAAAAATATAATTATAATCGAAATGAAATCAGATAGAGAACTGAATAATAAAAATACAAAATCTTCTATTTTTCACCCTTAGCATGAAAATATTTGTTTTTTTTTTCTTCAAATCTAGGTTTGACCAAACTGCGTAAAACTGTTTCCCAACACTCTATTATATTTAATATAATATATGTTCAATACCCTCTCTTAGCTTCAATACCCTTATTCCAGCGATTCTCTAATAATTTTATTCCATCCAAATTATGACTTGTCGGCAGCTCTGCAAAATACCCGTCTACGGCTGTAATAGCTTTTTTATTCGACGAAATAATTGTTGCAGGTTTCTGAAGAGGTGGTAGTAGCTTGGAGCCAAATAGGATAGATATTGAAATAATTCGTACTTTATACGTTGAATTTTGTAATTGTTTAAACACCTTTGTGAGCAGGTGCACTGTATTAATGAAAAATGTTTTTTTTTTGTGTTGCAAACTAGGCCTTTGTCATGAGTTTTTTCATCCAGGTGATCCAAGGGCTGCAACAATATTCAAAATTGATTCTTTTTGGTTAAAAAAACTGATGACATAAGCTTATTTGCTGAACGTTGTGACCTCATTTGCTTTGGGGCTGAAGAACCAGCTTAAATCTGATGTATCCGTTCTTGTTTCAATTAAGGATTATGGTGGTAGATCCAAGTCTCATTCATTCATTCTGCTTGAAACACTCGAATTTATGCTGGGAGATTTGTTTTCGATCCAGTCTTTGTTGAATTGCTAACGTGTGCTGCCCTAACTTTTCCCTAACTTATTCCAACTTGGATCTTCGTGAAGAATATTATGTACTTGCTTAATGATTTCTGGTGTGGTTGCGTTTTTTGGTCGTCCATAGTGTGGATCGCCTTCAAGCCTAGTACGACCACGTTTAAATTAACCAGACCAATTCTTCGTAAATATCCTTTGCTTCTAAATGCTTCAAAACAAAGAAACAGTGCGCGATATTAAATTTCTTCCATATTGAAAAATACTCTGACATCGTCAGGTTCAAATGTGTTGTAAACAAAGAACGAATCGACCGAATGACTTGTAATTTTGCATGTATTCTCAGGACAGATGAACCAACTTGAGAAAAAAAATTGGAACTAGCAGTGCTATTTCTTGGTGAACGTAGAAACTTTTCAACCAACCGTAAATTGATATCAATGAGCCATTTCCTGTCCCTTCCCTCACGGTTAGAAATTTTTTTGAATTTATATGAAGCAAACTTCCATTAAATTTCAAATTAAAAAAATTGATGTCATAAATTGACAGCCATTCGGAAGTCCAACATTCGACTCCTTGCTCGACTCATCGTTCGACAGCCGCAAATAAGTATAGAAAATTATTATTGTTTAATTGTGGTCGCCTCTTGGCAGAGAATGTCAAGTCCTTCGAGTGTATTTATGAAATAAAGTCGCAGCGTAAAAATCGATCGCCTGCTTGGAGGTGACCCTTCATTCGTAAGAAAGAAATGTAGACACATATCTCGAGCTAGAGAAAGTGCTCGACCGAAAATCGTTTCAGCATTAAGGAAGCATAAATTAAATATCTCTTAATTCTTTTATAACAAAAAAAAATTTACGAATTTTGTAAATAGTATTTTGATATTTATAATAATAGGCCATCGAACTTTTAAATAAAAAAGTCCATCGTTCTTTTCGCCATACATTCTCATTCTTTTACGCATGTACAGACAAATGTGCAAAGTATTTTATATTACCAGCCACTGCAATTGATATTGACAGATATCAGTGGTCAGAGCTAAGGGTAACGGTTATGGACATGCGAGTTTAAAGGATACTAGTTGCTGCTGACAATGCCAATGGCCAATTCAGCTGTGTGGTTTACCAAAAATTGACTTGTAAATTGTAATGGTTCTTATTTCAAAGTGCACTTGTATACATATACATATCTAGTTATATACACAAAATATCTTTATGTGCGACCTTCTCGCTCCCAAATAAATGCACAATAATTAAAAATGCAATTTAAGTAACATGGAAAGGATCATGACGAAATAAGTTACAAAGTTTGATAAAGAAAACCAGCTATAATAACATATATGTCCACTCAATAGAAGAATTTTCAGGTTAATTAAGGTACAGAGATATGCGATTTTTTGTTCGAAAAAAAGAAGGAGCTATGAGTCACTCACCATAGCAGTTTTCAAATGAATAGTTTTTAAATCCTACTTTATTGTTACTTGTTTGTGGTGTAATTATGAGCAAATACCCGAAATTGTATTTTCACCTTAAACACACTGAAAACCCCTTAAAAATACATGAACTCTCCGTATGCGCCCATATTTATGCAACATATATTTGGCTTAGCATGTCTTATTTTTAGTTGGGAATGTAAGTTAGCAAGTAAATTTATAATTTACATTTGTAGTTTCCTCATTAAAGTTTTAATTTGCTGCTTATGCTATTTTCTTACCATTCGTTGACGTACTTTCTGTAGCTAATTTATAAACGTAGATATATTTAAGGATTTATTTTTTCTTTCCTTCTCACTTTACTTGTTCCTTACTTACTTCATTTGACTATAATATTTCTTGCTTCACTTGCCTAAAGTCAGCACATTTTTCTTAGATACTAATTTACATTGCATTCAAAGGCAATTCCTCAAGGCAGATTCAGTTTTTTGTCTTATTTAAAAATTCTCGCTTGAATTTCCTTAAGTGTAAGAGGTTTAATGGCAGTGAGATTATTCTTGCAGAAAATAGTGCAAATTATGTAATTAATGAGCGTTTGCCGTCGAAGGACAGGGAAAATAACAAAGGAATGGACGAGAAGTAGGGTAAAATATATGATTTTTTTATGGCGTTGTAGTTGGTGTTCATACCTCAGAGAGTTTTAAAAAACATTACACTTTTTTGGTATATTTTATTTACTTTTTGGTATTCATTTAAACTTTAAGTAATATTGGTTTTAGTGAAACATTCACACATGGGCGAAATAATTCGGCTTTACAATAAAACATGGCCGAATGCTGCTCAGACTTCCACATGCTTCCACATTCACTATGCACAATGCTCACTTAGGGTGAAGCTCGTCTAGAGTGCAAAAAAATGGGAACATTTTATGAATTTGGATCGACTCAACAAAGGAATCAATAGAAAATCTATGAAATAGGTTTATTAATATAGGTTTCATGGCACAAATACAAAATCTTCGTGTGAATTGAGTTCGAAATGACCGCTGTTTTGCACTTTTCCGAAGAGACCTCTTTCTATAATTCTTTTTCCATAATTTTCGGATCAAAAAAATATTAATTTTTTAGTTTTTATATAACAACAGTAAGAGACGTAAGATGGATTTTTGCAATATATTCTTGCGTGAAATGGTGCACGTTTGAACCAAAACCCTATTCGGAAGGCTCTGGTTCAAATCGCCGTGCGACCAACATCCCAAAGTTTTAGAAAATTAAATTAAATAATAAATGAAGTTAAATTTTCGAATTGCGGTCACCCCTCAGCAGGGAATGTCCACCCCGTTGAGTGTATTTCGGACATGAAATTAGGGTTCCTCGTAAAAACACCATCAGCCGTTCGAAGGCGGCTTAGTATAAACAATATAAAAAATCAAGAAGCAAATTTAAGGAGGAGCTCGGCTGAAAATCACTTTAACGATTATAAAGCGCCAATTATATAAATAAAATCGAAATAAAATGTATTTTGATAACTGCTTCAATGATAACATTTCCAAACTTTTCAACAAAAACGATTGACATTTTTTGATTAACGAGAAATTTATCGTTACGATCATAATACAAAAATTCTATAAGAAAGTTTCAATTCGAAATTTTTTACACTAAGCGTGTTTGTTCACAAATATTTGATCTTGGTACTTATAAAATATGAAGCTTGGAGATTTTTTTAGTTATTTTTGGGGCTATCTTCTAAGCAAACGCTAAAATATGTAATACACTTATGGATCTATTAAAGAACTTTTTTCAAGCCGTTTTTCTTAGGCTGCAGAAGTATGAAAATAATATGATAGCTG